TATATATATATATGTATGTATGTATGTATATATATGTATGTATGTATGTATATATATATATATATGTATGTATATACATGGAAATTGAGTGGCATGCAAGTAAACCTTCAAAATAATAATAATAAATACTGATGAGCCGACATCCTAATTTGTTTAGATTTCAAAGTATCTATAACACCAAATTCACTATTTTAATGTGTCTACTAACACTACGATGAAAGCTAAATACTGGAACAAATGCAACCTGGATCTGTGAAATTTTTTTTAAAAAAATACAAAAGATGCAACACAAAGCCATTAACTGGTTAAGATTTACCATGAAACAAAAGCCAGCAAAAGATACAAGCATCAAAGAAGATGAAAAAAGTTAACGCAACTAGCTGAACTTCAGGGCGGTGTTTAAGAAGCGATCCTCCATCCTCCAAAGTAACAGCTGCTATAGCAACACACATGACCCAATAAATGCATTTATACCTGCACAGATCATGCCAGTTCAATTTCATTTTCTAAAACCAAAAACAGGAAACATCTGGGCATATAGAAGAGGCAAAACAAAAAAAAAGTCCAGACTATGTTTCGTACTAGTAAACAGAACAAACTAAAGCGGGAGCTTGAACATAGATTCCCTTTCCCTGTAAACAGATCCCAAGCTTGTTTCCAAAAGCCAAAAGCTCAAAACCAGCTCTATTTTGATTCCTGTGGATGCCAACTGTAGCCTCGCACAGTAAAGGACCAACAGCATGTCCATTGATAGAACCATTCCAGCTTACCCCTTCCAGGTGACTTTAAAAAAAAAAAAAGAAGAAAACAGCATAGAAATAATGGCAAAACAAAGCAATAATTGCTTGAGGAAATTGCTACTTTCTAGGCTGATATAGACGCCTCCGATGGAAACAGAGAGGAAGATAATAATAGCCAGCCATTTATTTTTGCATGCTCCAGGTATGAAGTAAATTTCTCCCTTGCATTTGGGATATCAAGAGCAAGATCATCAAGACCATCCTTGACCCTAGAGAATCCCTTGGCCATCTGATTCAAAGTGATCAAGCCTTCACCAAAGCATTCATGAAGTAGATCCAAGAGCCTATCATTTTTCTTCTCCATTGCCATGACCAACGCTTTCTTCACAACCTCATGGCTGAAGAATGGCATCCCAAGGTCACGGATACATTGGCAAGCCTCCCCAACGTCACCTCCGCTCTCAAACTCCTCCAAAAGTTTTGTGATCTTGTCCTTGGCATCCTCCACAGCCCATCCAGTACCACCACCCCAGCACCTCAGAAGTCTTTCACCTGCATGACGGGCTGAAACAAGAGAGCGAGCCATGTGAACGGTTTCACTGCCGCTACAGTTTGGTGGAAGTTTGCTCCTGATCTCCTCTAGGTTTAGTGGAGCCAAAACATCATCAATGACGGCCCTAGCAAGAAAAAGTGCTAGCTCGTCTGAGGCATCCAAAATATCAAGTGCTGTATCTTCTGCTGATTCGAGGAGCATTATGAAACCGTTTACAATGTCAACTGTGGAAAGAATCTCCATCCCTAGAGCTGATAGTAGAACAGATGCCATCTCCTTCTCCCTGTTCTTCCTGTCCATTGCAAGTGTGATCAGTTTCTTGATGAAAATAGGATAGTACTGTGGAGCAGCAAGATCTTCTAGGCTTCTAATAAGCTCCGGTATATCATCTGACAAAAAATACTCCTGAATAATGGTTACAGATTCTTCCTTAAATTTTCTTTTCTTCTCTCCTTCTATATCTCTGGAGTCCGTATTAGCAACAGAGGAGTTGAAGGAAGGGTCAAGCCAACCTTCGGAAATTGCTTTTGGAACAAATTGTTGGAATTCAGTTTTGGCAGAAGGAATATCAAGAGTCAAGTCCTCAAGGCTCTCAGTAAACCGATTGAATCCTTTTATCATCTGACTAGAGCTGATTAGACCTTCTTCAGCAGCTTCTTTCAAAAGCTTAAAGATCAGAGGTTGAGATGATGGTGTCTCCATGGCAAGGGTAATAGCACGTTTAACAACCTCATGGTGGAAGAATGAGACGCCTAATTCCCTAATGCATCGACAAGCTTCTCCTGTATCTCCACTTTCAATGTATTCTCTTAATAGATCTGATATCTTCTTCTTCACCTCTTCAACAGTGAGGTGAGTGCTACCTCCCCATTTGCGCTCAACTAACTCAGCATGATGGGGAGCTGAAAGATAGCTCTTTTCAGCAATTTCAACAACCTGAAGCCCTTTAGAATTTTCAGGAAGCACTTTCTTCGCTCTGTTGAGAAATGCAGGAGGTAATATATCATCAACAACAGCCCGAGCAATGAAAAGAGCCAATACCTCCACTGCATCAAGTATGTCAACTGCCAAATCCTCTGCCGACTCAAGAAGTATAATAAAACCTTGGCTAATCTGACATGCGCTTATTACATAAGCATAAAGAGCCGAAAGTAAAACTGAAGCCATTTCTTTCTCCTTGGCATGCCTATCCATTGCCATTGAAATCAATTTCTTAATAAAATAATGATGATACTCATCCAAACAAAGATCTCTGAGATCGGAAGCCGCCAGCTCCACATCTCCTGTGGTGAAATACTCCTCAATGATTGGTGTCACAGCCCTTTTGTAGTCATCAAGTGGGGAAGAGACAGTTGCACTTACTAACTGATAAGGCTCCTGTAAAATGCAACAGCAGGGGGCATTAGTATAAGGCTAACAATGTTAGCAATGCGAGAATATCAATCAGCAAAGAAAATGTAAATATGTAAGACTTGACCTCTAAAAATAAGATTAATCCTTGAGACTAACTTATAACACATGGACATCAACTCCATTGCTAAAAGAAATATTGATTAAAGGGACACATTGGAACTCCAGGACATTAACTCCATAGCCATAAGATAAATTAGAAGAATTGAAGTTTAGTACTCAATAGACCTTAAGATAATTACACAATAAGTTGATCGCCCAAATGTTAGGTTCAGTTTCATACTATGCAATAACCTCAAAACTAAAAAATATTGCTCAAATAATAAATTTAAAAGGTGTAGGAAAAGGTTTAACATAGTACCTCGCCGCTGTCATAATTTGGCCGCTGTCATAATTTGGATCATTATCATTACGATCAAGGGGTGCTGCAGAACCAGTATCAAGGAGCTTACCCCATGTTCCTTTACCGCCAGCACCATCTGCAGGAACAGAAAGGGAGAAAATAATAATAAAATAAGAAACTGATTGAGCACAAATAATTACAGAGACATCAAACTCCCATCATATGACGCAGAATAGAAATAAACTTTAATTGTATACAGCATAAATGAAGTGTTCTAGGGAGGCAGTTAAACAATTAATCTAAATATTTACAAAGTCACACAAAACCAACTCAACAAGAACAATCTACATTATCTTCAATGGCTAGGAGCCTATGAAAAATTGCTTGGATTTACGAGGTCTCACAGTCCAAGTTGATCTACCAATATAGTATGAATTAGGTTTTATATATGAAAACCTAATGTTCATTACTAGAGAAGCTAATAAGCTCAGATAAAATAATAATGAATAGATTAAAAAAAATGGAAACAAACAAAGAAGACAAGTATGCCATCTGATGTTTCGTAATAACTAGTAAACTTCGTCTAAATATCATAAAAAGGAACGAGTTGAAGTCAAGATATTTATTTATTTCATGGCACAGCCAATTGATGGTTGAAAATTTACACAGAAGCAATACTTCCGGGCCCAATGGTTATGCTTCTTACATCCAAAAACCAATGGGTGGGTTGGCATTTAACAAACAAGCTATTAGTCACTATAGCAAACAAAGAGCCAATTGATATACTAAGCAGACAAGATATTGAAGAAGCTCTAGCCATGAACATAGTTGCTCATTGCCTCATTCCATAAATATTATTCCAAAAAATATGAAATATTCTCTCAACCCATGCCCATCATTAACTCCAATTGCAGAGGAGTTGCATCTCAAGCTGTAAGAAAAATATACAAGATTTCAAAGCGTGCAATTGGGTGTGGAGAAGTTTTCTTTTATGAGGCAAGAAATGAGCTTAAAAAAAAAGCCCCATTAAATAAATTAAAAATATGAGAATAAAGCATATAAAAGTAATAATTTTAAATCATATGATGACATCATAATAAGCCATACAACACTCAATAATAAGAAAGAACTCAAAGATAAATAACTAAACATAAAAAGAAGTATGGAATAAATAAGTAAACATGTCTTCAAATAAACTATTTGTCAAGACAAATTCAAAAAACACTCCCGCTCCCATCACATAGATGGTCGTTATTAGGATTTATCATCATGGTTGATTACTATTTTGACAAAAAGGACAAAACGGAGCAATCGAGAATCAAAACTAATATCTTGAAATCCAGCTTTATCTTCCAAGCCCTACTAAAATATGCACTATAAAATGAAAATAAGGGGACAGAACTACTTAACGCTGTGGAGGCTCTGCAAAGGCTCAAAAAATGGTAGACAAAAGGCAACAATCAAAGAGAAAGGTGGGTTAATGGCTTCAAAAGATTCGCCAAAAGCCTTGGAAGCTTCTGAAAGGTCTGTTGAAGGTGTGTAACCAACAAAGATTGAAGAGAAAGGATGTCTGAATGCCAAAGAAGCTTCAATGAATGCTCATTGAAAGGGAAATGAGAGTAGTGTTAGGAGTAGGAGTGATCATTTGGTCGATTTGGATGATTTAGTTTTCAAATTAGTCAAACCGATCACAATCAAAATTTAAAATCTGAAAACACGAACCAATCAAATATCTGATAAAACAAAATTAGAATTTAATTCGGTTTACATGGTTCGGTAAGGAACAAACTGAAAATTAGTTGTTAGATGATGTTTAATTACGAGCACAAAAAAAATACACATCATACATGTATAGTATCGCTTTAGTTTCATGAATCCTCCATTTATATTCAATTTTTTTTATTTTTCAGTTTCTTCAGTTAAATGAAAATTAAAACAGAACCAATAACCAAAAAACCAAATATTGAGGTTTTAAAAATCAAAAACCCAAATACACTTTTGAAATCGAGCCAAAATGACCAAAACTTGTTTAATTCAATTTTATTTTGACCAAATAATGCGCACCCCTAGTTGCGAGGCCGCAGAAGAAATTCATAGTGTTAGGACACAAAAGATGTTTAAAAAATAGCATAATAAATATGTTCACATAAACCTATTGATATCTCACAAAATAGTTGTCTATTAAACAAGCATCCTTGCAAATTGTCGCACCATTTCCAACTTATGCAGGACCTAATTTAGTCATGAAAATCTTATAACATAACGTTGAGCAATTAGGCAGATGTTCAAATTTACCACATGTTCAACAAGGACATATAGGATATTTGGAGTGCCTATGCTTCATAGTTTAACATAATGATATTGAATTTAACCCAAACTGCAAAGGAAATGTGAACATTGTTGTTGAAATTCAAAATAGGATACAATGACGACCCTTCAAAACAGGAAATAAATGACAAACATAAACAATACTCGGGGTGATGATGACGGGGCTAGGTGGTGGTTGAACAATAGGTAGAAGGGTGACTGTTTGCAGTGGTTGGAAAGGGGGTGTATGGCAGCCCTAAAGACGGTGAAGGGGAGGCAACAACAGGTCTGCAAGGGGAAAGGGGTTGGTGGAGAGTCCCAAGTGGGAAGAGGTTTAGCGGCTTGGTAAGGTTGTTGGAGGGATTGGGCAATCCAGTAGGCATGTCGCAGGTGGGGTTTTCATCGACACCAAGAGCAGGGAAAGGCAACCGGTGACTGAAAATCGAGAGGGGTAGGCGCAGGTAGACGGGCAGGCGCAGGTAGACGGGCAACGACCACAAAAGGGAGATTGTGTGGGTCATTAGGTAGAAGTAATTGCCACCTCGGAGTGTGATACAGCCGAAACACCACCTATCCTCAAATATAGCCCTAATAAGGGAAAACATTCGGAAGCAGAACACTGAATTCAGATTCAAACAACTAACCCTATGCAAAAAAAAAAAAAAACAAATATATAGTAGCTAAGAGAAAAAAATAGGAAGGGGAGCCACCCCCTTTGGGTGGCAACCAAAAGAAAGAAAAGGGTCGTCTACAAGCTGAGAAGGAAAAGATGGGCTACAGACGATAATTCCTGCTCCTTAGAAGGTTGAGCGGTCCAATTGGAGGCTTGACAGAGCCCTGTGCTGGACTTCAGCAGGCTAATACCGTGTCACATAAACGTTGCTAAGTACTCCAATTATGCTCACACTAAAGACATGCATATAAAACTCAAAATTTTAATTGCAAAGCCAATTAAAGTTATTTGGGCCACTCACCCACACTCACAGGTACGAACGTGCAACCTCATAAGCGAGCGCGCACACACAAGTAGGTTTAAAATTACACAATAGGGGATTGAGGCGTTTTTCGTGCGTGAGGGGAGACTCATGGCTCACACTCAAAAAAACTACATGAAAAAAATGTATCCAAACTTCAAAGTATAAAGCAAGAAGAAGAGTATTCACATTCTAACATAAAAAGGTAACAAATTGCACTAAGTAAGAAGTAATATATTGAAATTCAGACATCTAATCATGAAATAAGAAAAGTCACAGAAATATCAAATTATCAAAGAAATTATGATATCAAAATTAAACATTAAAACATAATAATAATAACAACCAAAATAAATTCAAATATTTAAAACAAGTATCTCTCAAACTCATATTTGTCCATTAAAACTATAACATAACAATCCATAAGATAAAAGTTTTAAATTAAAAATCTCCAACACTCTCATCACGCAATGGATCATCATTCAAAACATTGACATAAGAAACTACTTTCTCCTTAGCCTCATTCTCAATAACATCCATTTTGTCCCATTCCATCTCATTTTCAATCTCAAGCAACTTCCCATTTCCTAATATATAACAGTAAAAAAATAATTATGTTTAAAGCAATAATAAAATTTATGCTTAAAATTTCAATCACATAAGTTCCTATGGGTACATTTTATGTTTATTTCTTTTTGGCTTACATTGGATCTATTTGTACTGCTTATACCCCCATGAAAGAAAGCAATATTGAGATCTTTTTTAAAAATCACAAGGTGTTACCTTGTTATCATTCATCATCTAATAACATATCATACAAAATGAAATCTTTATCATCCTTTAAAGCCTTTTTCCCAAACTCATATTTTTCAATATTTTTTTGTATATTTATATAAATCAATGAGTTTATATTATTCAAAAATTTAATGATTTCTTTTTTTTTAGGAATTTAATTATATGTACTTAAATTTCGCTCGCAATTAGATGATGATAATGCAAGTCTCAACCCCTTAATAGCCGTTTATTATAGCTTGAAATGGCATCCACGAAATCTAATTCAACATTTTAAGAGTCATTTCTTGTGTTAACCAATAAATAAAAAAAATTACTTGGAGAACATTTTGCAACCATATCTTTAACTTGATGCAATCCAAAGAAATTTTCATTTTTCTAAATGTACGAGTTGCATGTCGCCCACTTAATTGAGTAGACTATCAATCTATCATGTGATGACATCTTAGAGTGTGATTGGAACAGCAGTGCAGTGGCGGCATGGTGCCACACAACACTGTGGTATTTGAAAAAATTATATTTTGTTTGTTTTTTTTCAAAAAACCGCAGTGAGAAGCCACGTAAAAAAACTGACTTAGCTAAGTGTGGTGATTGTTAGAAAACCCTGATTTGACGTTTTGAAAAAAAAAAAATTGTATGAGTCACTACCACTGATTGAACAGTCTTTTGCCCCTGATTTGACGTTTTGAAAAAAAAAAAATTGTATGAGTCACTACCACTGATTGAACAGTCTTTTGCCCCTGATTTGACGTTTTGAAAAAAAAAAAATTGTAGGAGTCACTACCACTGATTGAACAGTCTTTTGCAACAACATTCACAGTTGCATTTTCAAGTAGGCGCAACTAACCAAACACTCTTAATTTGATCTCTAGATTGCTTAATTTGTTTCAAACATATTTAAATTATGAATTCAAATAATATCATGCCGCATTAAAACAATGATGAAGCTGATGCCCTCACTTCTCATTAATAATTTCATATAATTACTTGTGGTTCAACTCATCTCCTCCTAAATTTAGAGTGATCATTTCTTTAAAACTCATCTATTGCACGTAAAGAAAAT